TGTTGATAAGCTTGAGACTGAGATCGTTAATATACGACAGTAGTGCAAGATCGTACTTAAGACGAATCAACATTTTGATCAACCGTTGTTGGGACAACGTTGTTGAGGTTCTGTTATTATTAGCCTTGTCGATAGTATCAGAATTATGAATATTTCCAGTTGTAATTTCGCTACTAAAGTGGTGTTTGTTATGCACTGGTAGATTTGATTTCTGAAAGGAAGTATCAGCTAAGGAGAAAGCTGTTCTTCTTAGAAAATGAAGATAAAAACCAACCTATTCCATTTTCTGGCTACTTTTGTCCTTGGAAAGAATTATGTCCCGATTTAATCATACTAAATAGTCGAAAGCGTTTTCGGAGTCGGTGTGCAAATATTCAGGTAAAGCCAAAAGAAAATAAAAACCGAGTTTTAAGAAATTTCAATACTTTCCTGAATACCGAATATTCTAAACTTCGAAGCTACTATCACATAGATCTACTGACGGCCGCTTGTTAATCCACCGCAATATCTAGAAGTAACCAAGACACAATTTCCAGTAAGCCTCAATGCAAAATGATGAAACACTAATTATAGCATTACAATAGATTGGAACAGCCTCCCGGAAACAGACAATGTTAGTGTAAATTACTAGGTAAGCAAATTAGCTGATTACAGTCCACAGAAGTGCAGTTCGGACTGAAATACCGACGAGCACCTTATAGAACAAAGAACTGGGGAGGGAAACGAACTCCCTCATCCTATACGTAAACAACAATTAGCAACATCCTCACATACTACTGTAAGTTGAGTCAATTTTAATTCATTTTACACTATTGTTGCTACTGTTATCATTGTAATTGCAGCTCCTGATGATGATGGCAAAGTCCATTGAAAGCTAGAGAGAATTAAAAAAGTATAAAGAGTCCTCTTTGCTTAAATTTTGTCGAAGTACCCAACTAAAGGTGCAAGCTTTAATTTTTCACCTAACTGGTCTAGACGACAATGACCACGTCTCAATATATATATATATATATATATATATATATATATATATATATATATATATATATAGGATATATCCTCTAGTTTTGCTCGAACAATGTCAAAACGATTGTAGATAAACTTGTATGTATCTAGAGCCAGGGCAGCCGGTGGCGAATTGCGTTGGACCATGTCAGAACCTGCATATTGCCAAGAAAACTAATAAAATTGTTTGCAATTACCAAGAGCATTCTGGTCGGCAGTTGCTTCACGAACAGTTTAGCGGTAGTTTATGAAAAGCTAAAAGAGACATTATGACACGTCATTGTATACTATAATTTTCGTAGATGTGTAAGCCCGGCTAAAAATACACGAGCGTAAGCATGCAAAGGCTCACAGGAAAACACGGACAAGCATTTTACGTCAAAGCCGTAGAGAACGAGCGGTAGGCAGGCTTTTCAAACTCTCATATTCAACTGAGACCTCAAAGGTCTGATAATAATCTGACGACAACGATAGCATCTTCTCCTTTTAATCCCTACCTGACTCATTTGCAGAGTACTCATGGGCACGAGAGGCAGTGAACTATGCGGAACTGCTAGATTCAGTCGCCACATCAAATTCCAGCAGACTTTCTCACATTTATCTATTTGTTCAGCCAAAACCGATTACGGGATAAATGAACATGGAGACAAAGATATAAGTGGATTATGTTTTGTAGAGAATGACGAAGAACAAAGAAAAAGCATTCCAGCTTTACCTACCCGCTAGGCAATAACCGACATTCAAACAAGCATAAACGAAAATAAATGGTAATGTCCCCAAAGTCGAAGAAAATGTAAATAAACTGGATGACAGTTGCTTTGCAACATGGAAAATTTTACCGAAATTTGAATCTCCAGTGAAGTGCAGTAAAAATTTGCTCCTTTTACATTATATAATTTAAACCGAATTCGTGCGGGTCTTTCGCATTGCGAACCCAGCCGTTTCGCATGTTTCTTGACTGTTCTCTACAGTGGGGTTTTGTAAGCAGATTCCGAATGCCTTAATCTTCTGCGATTTGTTGAACCAGCCGTTGGATCCTGGTTTAGGCATTTTCACTGAATGAGGGATGCGTTCCGTTGCATGACCGTAACGCCAAATGTTGCGGACGAGTTTCTGCTGCCACAGCTGGCTGTGACCAAAACCTGACAAGAGCCTGTCATCCTATTTGGATGTTAATTTGACATTATTTACGTGCCAGGTATATTTCTCAACCAGCAGCATCTATTTACGAATGTGGTTCTATCGAGAGCTAAAAGTAATTTCGTCTGTGATGGGTGGTATGCGTGTTTGTATTTGACAAGCACCACAGATGGTCGTCCCAAGGTTAGACCCCATTTCTTGAAATACTATGTATATAGATTATTATTATTATTATTATTATTATTATAATTGAGATGAGCAGGGTACACAGTACTATAAGCTCATGCAGTAAATATAGTGTACGGACACGTAACACAAATACATCAAATAGAAAAAAATAAAAAAAGACAGTTCATAGCTATAAAGTTTGTACACTCCTCCAGCTATCATACTGCACTTTGAAGCTATTAACTGAAGTAGCACCAACCACACTTTCAAGTAAACTATTCCAGGTGTTGAATATGCGGTTGGGAAGAAACCACTGTCGGACTGTTGTTTTAAATGGCTCCTTATGCAGTTTGAAGCTGTGTCCGCGTAGATTGCTGCGCGACAGACGGTATAGATGCATGAGGTTGGTGCCCATCAAACCATGAAGTATCCTGAACGTAACTATAAGATCGCCATGAAGTCTTCGCTCAGGGAATGGGGTCAGGTTGAATAATTCAAGGCGATCTTCATAGCTTGGTCTTCGTGCTCCAAAAGGGATACGAGTAGCCCGACGCTGTACTGATTCGACGAGATTTCTATCGCGCAGAAGCACAGTGTCCCATACCGGGCCAGCGAATTCAAGAATTGGCCTCACGAATGCCTTGTAAATGTAGGCGCAAGTGTTGACATCGGATCCTTTGAAAGACCTCTCCAGCATGTATAGAAGTTTCTTGGCTTATGATGTAACGTGGTGAATATGCTCTGACCAGGAAAGACGATCGTTGACTACAACGCCCAGATCAGTGTGGTTGGAAACTGCTTCGATGTTGTGGTCAGAGATCTTGTATGTAAATCGCGGATTTGTCTTCCCGAGGTGAAGGACACAACACTTAGTCAGATTTAAGGGTAAAAGCCAACTGACTGACCATTGACAAACAATATCAAGATCTCGTTGAAGCATAGCAGAATTTACGACAGTATTGTAAATCTTGGTGTCGTCGGCATAAGCTGAACATGTGGAGGAAATCAATGCGGGCAGGTCACTTGTATATAGAAGGAACAGCACTGGCCCTAAGACAGAGCCTTGAGGAACTCCACTTGCTACATGATGAAGGTGAGACTGGCTATCACTGACGCGCACAGAGAAAGTCCTCCCGGTAAGAAAAGCCTTAATCCACAGTAACAACTCGCCTCTTATTCCCATAGATTCCAACATAAACAGAAGCCTTCTATGTGGTACGCGATCGAAAGCCCTAGAAAAATCTAAGTAGATTATATCAACAGGAGTCTTTGTGTCCAGATACTGAGTCCAATCGTTAAGAGAGTGGAGAAGGTTGGTCATTATTGATCGACCAGGGAGAAATCCATGCTGATTCTTAGGGATAAGGTCATTTTCGAAAGCAAATGACAGGAGCTTATCTAATATCATAACACATATGTTGAAAACCAACAACAGGTCAAGGCATAGCAGAAATGCATGCTCTGGTCCAGAATTTGTACTATGAAGCTGTCAGCAGACTGACGGCAAACCCTTGGAAAGATTGCATCTGTCACGTTCAAGAGACGATCCAAACAAGGATGTGGGACCTGGACAATATGATGGATATTCAAACTGAACCTGTAATAATTAAGCGAATACAGACTTGTGAAAAGTATGTGCACTTCTTTCTATAAAAATAATCATTTTTTTGTTAGATTATTCCAAGACCATTGAGGCAAATACGGACCTGTACAATCTCGCTTTTGGGCATTTTGTGCTTTGTCTGGGCGTGAATGGACTACGAATGGGGCATAGGAACATGTTTGATTTAGCGTCAAGAGAGTCATGCAGGTTTCAGTTTAAACAGGAAAAAATACCCACTTTACGATCAATTTATATGACAACTGATAATGTATACAAAAAAGATTTGAATCAGTACATTACAAATGCTGATTTGCACATCTATGAAGCTAGATACAGCGAAACCCTAGTTTTGGCTACCCACAATTTGTCACTTTTTGGGAAGTCTTTTTTGCCACAAAAAACGCTCCAATAGCTACTTTCAAGAACAAAATCATAAACAGACCATGGGCGTAGTGAACAAAAGCATTTACTTATTAAGTAAATTCTTTTAGTCAAATTTCTTCTGAAAGTAGTACAAACTAATCTGATGTACCTATTAAAGTCTACTTCAAGCTTTAAATCAATAAATCTTCAAAACTACTGAACTGAAGTACATTAATTTTATATTATTATAAAAGGAATTGAAAGACCTTAAAAATAAGGTATCACTCGACCCCCCTTTCCATTTAAGATTTTGGGGGTGGTGTCACTCCCGCTTAGGGGGCTGCATGTGCTAACGTGATTTGTTGCCAAACTTGTGTCCCCCTCGAAAACAAAATCGACGGGTCTGAGCATTTTTCAAAAAAGAAACTGAGCTACCAGTAAATGCGTCTGTTTCGTTTTCGATGCGCTTCAAACTTGTATTCGCTACGTTTCCTCTTGTAGTCCACTGGGCTAAATATTATTGGAATCGTAAAAATCTTCAAAATGTTCACAAAATCATGCTAAGTATGGACATTTTAAGATCCAACCGGATTTTCAGAGGTGCGGACACCCATTTGCAAACGTATTTGTATGATATTAATGTTATTTCGTGCTAGATGCCAACGGTGAGAGACTTAAACCTACAGTATTTTGCATTCAGATAAAGATTTGCATGTCCTACCTAAACGAGCGCTGTGTACCAGCGAGCAATAGAGCAGTTGCAGCATCACAAAAGGCCCCATTTCGAGACGATTCAGTTTACTGCGCTTAACGAACAACAGGCGTTCGGTTAAACTTCCAGCGGAACTCTCGGATGGGAACACGCCATTTTCACCAGACCCGGATTTTTTCACTTTTTCTATACTCCTCGGTGACGTAGCGCCGCTACGGTATTGTTATGGCAGCAGCTGCTCAAATGAGTGGCAGTTCTCTCGATATCATTTGTGTGCTGCAAATAAAAAAAAGATTTGCAAATCGTCACATTCAGGATGGCTACGAAATGTAGACAGTTTGTACTAGTATACTAAGTGACATATAAATCCGAACACCCAGTTTAAATGGTTTTATTTTAATAAAAGTTGGTGAATGTATTTATCTTGCTGTAAATAACAAGTGAAAAAATTTTCAGCCTTATCAGTTGGACATTCCGGTTTTTATACTGCTTTTTTTTAATCCACTAACGCTCTAAAAATGAATATTTCAGGCGCAGTAAAGAATCAACGTTGGCGGATTTTGGTTCTTGACATCTTTTACGATCGGTTACGATGCCTAGAGTACGGAGACCTGTACGATTTCGTCAACTTAGTGAGTTTGATAGGGGCCGTATAGTGGGACTTCGGGAAGCTGGACTTTCTTTTCGGGCAATTGCATTTAGAGTGCAAAGAAGTGTAGACACTGTGGTTAGGTGTTGTCAGGCATGGCTTCGAGAAGGCCGTACGCAAAGAGCAAGGGGCACTGGACGCCGCCGTAGAACAACAGACCGTGAAGATCGCCGCCTAATATTATTGGCCTTAAGGGACCGTTTCTCCATTACTAAATGAATGGTTTGCAGAACACGGAAGACCTATTGGTATGCGAAGTGTTTACCGAAGTTTTGGCTTGTTTTCATATCGGCCATACTGGGCCCTCCCTTTAACTCGAGAACACCGACGTAATCGCCTTGAGTGGTGCAGACAACGGTCACTCTGGGATCAGGAATGGAACAGTATTGTCTTTAGTGACGAGTCTCGATTTTGTTTAGGCATGCACGATGGTCGTGCCAGGGTTAGAAGGCGACGTGGTGAAAGGAGGAATCCACAGTTTTTTGTTGAAAGACATGTTCATCACACTGTTGGAGTTATGGTTTGGGGTGCTATAGCTTATGGTTCCAGGTCACCTTTAATCTTCATCAGAGGTAACATGAACGCGCAGCGTTATATCCACGAAGTTCTAGACCCCCTCTTTTACCCTACCTTGACACCCTGGCAGATCCAACTTTCCAACAAGATAATGCCCGAGCACATGTTGCAAGAGTCACAATAGACTTCTTTCAACATAATCATGTCACATTGTTACCATGGCCACCAAGATCTCCCGACTTATCCCCAATTGAGCACGTGTGGGATATGATGGGTAGGAGATTGCTCAATTTGCAACGTCCTCCTCAGACTCTAGAAGCACTTCGAGAGGAGTTGGTGGTTGCCTGGAATGAGATACCACAGGAGGACATTGACCACCTGATCAGAAGCATGCCTAGGCGCGTTGGAGAATGCGTAGCACATCAGGGTGCATCCACACATTATTAAAGGTCAAAGGGCTTTAAAGCAGTGCATTTTGAAATTTTTATCATTTACTTATTATGCTTCATTAAGTACTTATACAAAATGTTATTAAAATAAAACCATTTAAACTGGGTGTTCGGATTTATATGTCACTTAGTATAGTAAAAATCACGTTTTATTCCAATAAGTGTTCAAAATGTTGCCCGTTATAATTTTAAACCGAAACTACCAACATAAACAGCAATTCGGAAGATTAGACGTGCCAATAACCAAATAACAACCCGAATTTTTTCCGCATTCTTTTCATCAAGACAGATATCCTGGGTGAACTGTATTTATTGTTATACCTGTTTGGTCATTTGTTGCTAAGGGTTCAGTGATTTTTGGTAGATCCGTGCTGAGAAGTTTTCTTATTAAACAGTGATAACATGTTGAATCTTTTCATGGTTGGACCATAATCAGTATCAGTGATAGCGATATTACAAACGTTTCAGGACTTCAATGTTGCATAGCTGTCTTATTATCTATGTGATATTTCTGGACTGAACTGATTGAAAAAAGCGCATTGTTTCTTTTTATGCCTCCAAAAATAGACAGCGTTTCATGTCGATGAAGCATACGAGGTACGCCATGTCATGAACTTTTTTGTTTCGATACAGAAACACAATGCTCCAGCTGCAACGGTTGGAATAAATATAAAAGAGCGTAACAGGTTCGCGCTGACCAGTCGAACAATGGAAGTTCACTCATAGCGAATTACACCGGTTCAGATGTTCTCTTATGGTATATGAGAAACATTTTGAAACAGTGTTATAGGACCCCAACTCAAAACTTATGAAATGATATAAATTTTATGGTCTCTCTGACAAGCCACTACGTTTCTTCGATTCGTATTTGCGCAATCGTACCCAGAAGGGGAAAACACGTAAGGGATTTTCTTCGGCAAAGAGTGTGGCATCTGGCGTACCTCAAGGCTCTGTGTTGGGACCATTACTCTATTCAGTTTATACCTTTGATCTACATACTTGCCTTCAGCACTGTAATATTCAAACGTATGCAGATGACACGCAGCTAACTCTGTCTTTTGATTCTTCAGACATGCATGAAGCATCATATAAATTGAACTTGGATCTAGTTAACATTGAAGAGTACTGCAAAAGACATTGTCTGAAGATCAATGCTTCAAAATGTTCTACTATGCTATTTGGCCCAAAACAGTTAGTACAACGGTGGCACAATTGTTCCTAGTCTTAATGAAACCCATATTCCTACAGTAGACCATGCGAAGTATTTAGGGATCACCATGGATTCAGATTTGAGGTTTAAACAACATGTTACGCATTTATCTCGCTTAACATACATGCGTTTGAAGTTATTATACACCAATCGCCATATTCTGAATTTCAAGACTCGCAAAAAACTGGCTGAGACTGGTTCTATCGTTAATAAATTATTCAATTGCTGTTTACTTTCCTTGTCTTGATCACGTGACTAGATATCGAGTACAAAAAATTCAAAATAGCTGCTGTAGGTTCGTTTGTGGTCTGCGAAAGTTTAGCCATGTGTCTAAGAAGATCAATGAGCTTAGATGGTTGAGGGTTGACCAGCTTTTCACATATAACTTACTAATTTTAGTACAACGAATAAAAATCAATAGGCTACCTACTTATCTACTAAAAAGGCTGGTACCACGTGGGGATCTCAATTACAGGAATCTGAGACATAACTCTGACTTCCATATACCTAGTTATAGGAGCAACATTTTCCATCGTAGCTTCACCTAGAACGCTGTCAAGGTGTACAATAGTCTTAATGATAATTACAAAAAGATGGGAATACTTGCTTTCAAGAGCGCCATTAAGAACCACCTTCTGGGGTCTGCTAGCCAAGCTGGGTGATATATTTATTTGTTTTTGTCTTTATTGTTTTTTTTTTGTTTATTATTAAGATTAATCTATTTAAGCTTAATTATTGTATATATTATTTAGTCGATTGCTATTCATTGTTATGTTCTTCCTTTTGTATGTGTTCCTGCGCTGTGAGGTTAAGTGGTAGAGTAGCCAGCTGGCTAACCTTCGCCTCGCAGTGTGGAAGGATTAATAAAGACATTATTATTATTATTATTATATAAAATTTGGGTTGAGATTTGACGATCAGGCAATCAAAATTCATTTATGTTGCCTCCTGAACATTACAAAGTTACTTTATTTTTCAGAAAAGTTCACAGTACGTCTTCTCCTAAGTCAGTTTCCTTTGCGCTATTCGAAAAATTAAAAAACTGCTGTAACTTCCTTTGTGGAGTCTTAAGAAACGATTTAAGTGTAAAAAATGTTGAAATTTGCAGTTTTTATAATTTCTTTTACCCGATAAATGATACTTTTTTGACTAGAACATGCTACCACATCAAAAATGCTACTTGCGAGCTAATGCCATATGAAGTGTCTAGAGGTCCGCAAAAAGTGTACAAGGTTAAAAAATCTATGCACTTTTTTAACTTAATGTGATAGGGTTTGATGTTTAGTTATGAGGTGTCTGTCCATAAGAAAATAAAAATATGTTAATATTGTCAGACGTCGACGTCAAGCCGAAACCGGATGATAGGCAAAGTCATAACAGCTATCGGAAAAATATTTAAAAAAATTTTATGTATGTGTTTTGAAAATTATAGGTCTTTGAAAAAGAAATAGAAATTTCACACCCTACGGCAGTCTGTCAACTCCTGTTACTACAAATATTAACTTTTTTGGATTTTATTTTTACAATGTAATGATGAATAATGCATCTTCAAACTGGTGTCTCAACCTTACTGCCAACTTTTCTCGTTCAGGAAAAATTTACCAACTAAGTATTCCAAAGTAAAACTGCTCAACTTTAACTGGCTGTACTGGAAAAAAATGTACTACGAGAGTTTGGCAAGTAACCTTAAAAGTTGGCGCATTTAATAACGATTCCAAAATGGTATAACACTTAGACGATTACTCGTTAACTTATGCACAATTTTTATTTGAAGAAAAACTGATGAAAATTTTTCAAAATTTCCTAATTAAACAGCGATTATGAAAACGCACAAGGACCCTTAAGGATAACTGTTTGCACAACAGTGGGCGTCAAAATGCTGCTGATGATGATTTGCCTTTACAGCAAATGCTCAAACTGTTTATCCTTCAGCCGCAATACACGCTCGACATCTTCTTAAAAAAGATCGGGTTATTAAACGAGCGAATCCACGGTTATTAACAAACTCAGCTGCTTCCAATAGTCTTTGCCGTAGCTCAGCTACATTTTGAATCGGCTTGAAATACACTTTTTCTTTTGCAGTTCCCCAGTAAAAAAAATCTAACGGATTCAAATCTGGTGACCGGGCTGGCAACGGTATTGTACCAGACCGCCCTATCCATCTGCCTGGAAAGTTTTGATCGAGATACTCTCTCACTGAGAGTGCATAGTGCGCTGGGCAGCCATCATGCTGAAACCACTTGTCCCTGTAACTACTCAGTGGCACGTCCTCCAATAAATTTTCTAAATGATTTTGCAAAAAACCTAAATAAACCTGAGCAGTCAAAGTCTCTGGGAACTCAAACGGACCGATTATTTTACCATTGAAAATTCCTGTCCAATGGTTTATCTTGAAGCGATATTGAGATTTATCTTCTCTCATCAAATGTGGGTTTGCTACGCGCCACTCGTGTAAGTTATGCAGGTTCATGTACCCATCTTTCTTAAATGTGGTCTCATCCGACCATACAATTTTTTCAAAGAACTGTGGATCTTTCCTGTGTCTTTCTAACATTGTGCGACAAAAAGCAACTCGGGGCTCATAATCCCGGGGCAGGAGAGGTTGAACACGCTGTATGTGGTATGGATGAAACACATCACTTACTTGCTATTGCACACTTTGATACTGATCAGTACTCCTTCGTTTAAAGCGCATCTTTACATGTTCGTGCTTGTTGATTTCGTACTGTTACTAATTTTGGATTCGTGAACTGGACTGTTGATCGCTTGTGATTTGGATTTGGACTGTTTAATTGCTCTTCAAAACAACATTTGCTTTCCTTAGACTATCTTTGATAGTGTGATTGTGCAGTGCCGCTATGTCCGTGTACACCGTAAAAGAATATGCTAACATGCACCTCATTTATGGGGAATGCAGATGCAACGCTAGTGCTGCAGCGAGACTTTACTGTGAGAGGTATCCGAATGCAGCTCGTCATCCAGATCATCGAGTTTTCACAAATGTGCACCGCTTACTGTTCTCAGAGGGCCAACTACCAAACCAATCACACGGTGAGGGAAGATCTTTCCTTCCTTACGAAGACGTGGTGCTAGGAGCTGTCGAAGAAGACCCGAGTACTTCAGTGCGTGCAATAGAACTAAAAACAGGTGTGCCCAAAAGTACAGCGTGTTCAAGCTCTTCTGCCCCGGGATTATGAGCCCCGAGTTGCTTTTTGTCGCACAATGTTAGAAAGACACAGGAAAGATCCAAAGTTGTAATAAATTATGGCGCGAATATGTTCTCGGTTGAGTTCCATTTTTCTAATGCCTCGGTAACACTTGAAAATTCACTGTAGTGAGAACACTGCACGTATTGTTGTGGATGTTTGAATTTAAGTTTACTAAAGAGTGAGGTCAAGATTCAGTACTGACGTTCGATCCGCGCAGCTACTATGTTTCTATATGCAAAACTTAAAACACATCCCTCGTATTATATTTTATGATAAAAATGATGCCTATTAAGTAGCTCAAAACGCTGGCTGCTTTCATCAAAACATGAATTTAGTTATTCAAAAATCGAAATCAATGAATAATTCCTATCTCAATAGCTTTGTTATACAGGGTATTTTAGAAGCATATGCAAATATTTCTAGGGTACATTAAAAAAATGAAAAACTTCCTATAAATATGGGTCCAAAGATGCTGCCATACCGAGATATAAGTGAAGTTTTATTTAGGATATTGAAAAAAATTATATCTGTGTAGCGAGTAAAGATACTGAGTTAGGATTTTAGACATTTAGCAAGCAATTAACATACAGAGTTTCCCGGCCCAAGCTAAATCAGGGACGTAGAAATTGGGGTCCCTAGACTCTTGGACATATTTTCTATACCGCTGGCCTATTCGGAAAAACGAGTACATTTTATAAAGCAGCATTAAATTTTCTATAAATCTTATCTCTCGAGGTTTTTTTGTCAGAGTACTCGTTTCGGAGATATTTGGGTTTGAACATTTGAGGTTAAATCCTTATTAAAAGGTGTAGCCTCCCCTATTCTGAAAACGTCGTGAAGCTTGTGTACGCCACTGGTTTTGCCGGCATATCCATTGTAGCTCATAGATAAAGAAACTTGAAAAAAATGAAAACGTTTATTTTAAAAATAAATAAAGCTAATGAGAATTAAATGCGACAACAATAAAGATTAGATTTCATACAACTTACGTGGTTATTTCTAAACTTGTGAAGACATAATATCGGAAACAAAAAAATTATTTGGTACAAAAATTATTCTTTTAATGGCACTTTTGATACCTATAACTTTCTTGTAATTAATTAGATATGGGGTCTAAAGAAATACAGTTTCCTGTCCTCGGTACGAAGGCATCCTTGGATCCATACTTATAGGAACTTTTTTTGTTATTTGTGGATGTTCTTTCTACTCTATGAATACGTGCACGTCTTTCTGAAACACCCTGTATACCACAAACTAAGTTACATTTTTTTTTTAATTTATTTCACTGGAATAAAAATTCGATAAAACACGGGTAATCAAAATCATTCTAACATCCACGGTAAAGTGTAATCCACAAACGCGTTTTATCGTGAAAAGCAACTCCACTCTAGCAGCTTTGCACTACATCGAATCGACCAAAACAGAAACTCACTTCTAGTTAGATCGCACCATCGGTCAAGTAATCGTTGACCTCGAGCGCAAAGAATACCAGTCATCCATACAAGCGTGCACTAAAGCGCGATGCGACTTTTCCGATTCCTCCGACAAGCCGCTTTTCCGCAGTTGCGTCGTCGTTCGCCGTTTCCGCGGAAAACTGACTCGTTTCCACGAGGTTGCGGAGCGCCGCGTCGTGGCTTGGACTGCCGACGAGTACGCGCATTGCCGATATAGTGGAGTGCTTTAAGGTTTAAACTCCGGAACCCGGAAAAGCTCAATAGACGTTTTTTGTTGAAAGACATGTCCATCACACTGTTGGAGTTATGGTTTGGGGTGCTATAGCTTATGGTTCCAGGTCACCTTTAATCTTCATCAGAGGTAACATGAACGCGCAGCGTTATATCCACGAAGTTCTAGAACCCCATCTTTTACGCTATCTTGACACCCTGGCAGATCCAACTTTCCAACAAGGTAATGCCCGACCTCGTGTTGCAAGAGTCACAATAGACTTCTTTCAACATAATGATGTCACATTGTTACCATGGCCACCAAGATGTCCCGACTTATCCCCAATTAAGCACGTGTGGGATATGATGGGTAGGAGATTGCTCAATTTGCAACGTCCTCCTCAGACTCTAGAAGCACTTCGAGAGGAGTTGGTGGTTGCCTGGAATGAGATACCACAGGAGGACATTGACCACCTGATCAGAAGCATGCCTAGGCGCGTTGGAGAATGCGTAGCACATCAGGGTGCATCCACACATTATTAAAGGTCAAAGGGCTTTAAAGCAGTGCAATCATTTTGGAATTTTTATCATTTACTTATTATGTTTCATTAAGTACTTATACAAAATTTTATTAAAATAAAACCATTTAAACTGAGTGTTCAGATTTATATGTCACTTAGTATAAGTTCGAGAATCTCCGTCCAATCAGCTTCCGCGTATTGTGCGGTTTTTGTGTTTTACGTCTAACGGAGCTCCACTAATAGTGACATCGATGGATGTTCCGATGGCCCCATTGTCTCCTGAGCTGAAGTCGAGTACTTTCACACTGGAAGTATTAACATATAAAAGACCTAGGTCAGATCTGACCGTGAGAAGAGCTATCCATCATTCGACCTTTATTCTGACGCGGCAGCGCGGAAGGGTTGCGGACGCAATCTTCACGTGCAGCTGTAGAGCCAAACAAACTGCATTCAGCGAACAGAGGTTTCACGCTTTTACAGCAGGGTGAAAAAAGAATGTAGCTCGTTTTTATTTGAAAACTTGATATGAGGGAGCTTAATTATTTTTGAATATTTGCAATAAAAAAAAATGTTTTTAAATATTCGATTCACTTCATTAACAGCTATATAAGAGCTTGCTTTTGTTATTTTATTTATTGTGTGTTCTAGCAGGAACTACCTGGCATTATAGGGAAATGGACTCACGTTACTGAGATTCATATCTGAAAGTTGGAAGTAGAGGCACCTTTTAGGGAATACATATTTTTGCTTCTATCTGCTATCTACACAGTTTTATCTGTCGTCCAGTTCCTAAAAGGGTACTATAAAAGTTTTGCAATCCAGCTTTATTTATTGACTTCGTTCAAAGTAATTTCCACCACATTCACACTTCTCCATCCGTACGATGAGGAAGCGTCATTTTTTCTAAGCTCTGATATATGCTTAAACCACGCGTAAAAACAATGCCCTTATCTCAGTACGTGACCACGATGCCATAGTCCGCACTTTACACTGTCAATACGAATGAACAACTAAATCAGCAGATTGGCGCTACTCTGCAATCATGGACATGTCTCAACGTGCAGTAACATGCAGCCTCCTGCGTCCGTTTGTTAAGACATATTGCAAAACTTTTATAGTACCCTTTCTACTTCACCACCATAGCTCGATTCGGGTCTGAGAATCCACGTTTCACAATAAAATCCAACGGTTATTCATCACCGAGTTTGTAGGATAGCTTTAGAGTTTTAATTCTGATTTATACACTCCTCCTTAATAACTTACAAGTTAACCCTTCCGAATTCGGTGATAAATCAGAAACTTTAGAAAATCCTGCCGCCTAACTCGCGATAACAATCGGAAGCGTTTAGCGTTATCGTAAATATTTTTATTTGGACGGAATGAATTGCCTCTGCTTGGGCGTCACACCGATCTGACCTCAAAACGGCTGTACTAGTAAGTAAATTAGCTCTGCATTATCTACAATAATATTTATCTGCTTTCTCGTGTCATTTTTATTATGCATTACCAACACTTAGCTTTAAAATACACAAGTTACATCAACCTTTATGCGTCTTCACGGTTGTGGGCGCACACCATACACAAGCTGCAAAATCATAAAAGTGCCTATCTACTATATTGCATCAGCACTCCATTAAATGTTACAACTCTTCGAACTAGGTAGACAGATTTCACCAACATTAATATTATGGACCAATGGGAAACTACCTTACCGAACTGCAATTTGACAGAAGCTGTCAAAGGTCTCTGAATATCAGTGATTTGTATTGAAATATTGAATAAAATCGTGAAAATTCGACTGTATTATAAACAAGACCACTTTTTGATTCCAACATGCTGCTTTTGTACAGAAAAAACAGGACAACTTTCACGTATTTTGATATATGTTATAGGTTTACATTTAACAACCCGTTATCCCCCTCAGCGAATGGGAATGCGGCAAATAATATTTCGATTTTCTAGCTGTTAAATTTGGCAGCAGATTTGGACGTTTGTTAATGCATGGCACTCTCGAATTTACCAACTTCAATATACTGAAAGTTATCATTACATACCTGTTGAATAGTGTGGATTTGTCTGTATTTTGCAAGAAAATAGAATATAAAATACATTCCATCCAATTCCTCATCTTCCTTTACCTCATAATAGTAATCATTTATTAATTTATGGGTTAATGAATTTCTTCAAAGCAAAAAAAAACATTATGTCCTCTCCATCCTAAAACACAGATAATATGTGTAAGACGTGTCAATCCCTACATCTCTCTGACGCGTAATACAATTACTATGGACATAGACAAGAAATTATGAAAAATGTTTCACAAATAATGTCTTTTAAGTCCAAAAATCGTAAACACTAGTAATGTTTAATGTTTGTCTTTTTGGCTGGCGCACTGCCGGGGATATCTATCTGTCACTCACAGGGTTGCCAAGTCTAACGACGATCACGTCCCGTGGTGAAGGTTGCGAAATGACTTTTTAAGTGCCATCTGTATAGCTAATATATTACCCAGACTTTGACTTGTCACAAGTCACAATACTCGTATATACGTATAAATCGTAAGAGTTGTGCTGTAAAGAAGTTGTATCAAAGAAGGACAGCATTTGGAATACCAAAGGATACCAAAAAATTAGTTCCTATAGCTAAAACTTATAGTCAGTATGCCTCCGTCACCATAATGTGACAGAAAGTAACACAATGATGTTAGATTGACAAAGCAAATGTTAGACGTCTAGGGGCGGGGCGGCGTCTCCTGCGCCTGCACCATCGAAATCCGCCAGTGGGCACCACCGATACAAGAAGAGTCTTTTCCGAATTCCTAATAGAAAATCAGATTAACATAATTTATTTGGGATCCTCACAGCAGCCGCTGCAGTTACGCGCATCGGTATTAAAAAAAAATCAAACTACCATTTGCACCCTTTATCAAAGAAAACTCGTCCAGGGAGGAGAAGAAAGCGGCGCTTTTCCACGTTTTTCGGACAATAAAAGCAGCTCTACGAAGGCATTTCTTTATGACGAGTTGACGTTAATATACGTCATAGCTTTTCAGTTGAAACCTGGCCGAAGTTCGCGAAACGGGGCTAACAGATTTTCTGCGGTAACATCCGTGACTTAGATTAAATTCTTACGTGCCTTCGTCCTCCCTTGAGAGGGAGAGCGGGCAAGCCATTCGGGCGATCTCCGAGTTGGCAACCGTAATAAATTGGGGAAGGTGTCTTGCCTCAATTACTTTCTACGTGTTTTAAAACGATTTTTTCTCGGAGCAAGATGTATACGCGTGTTAAGATTGATCGATGTATCTTCGACGGATTAAATGTATAATTCAGTATATTCAGATACATTTGCGATATCTTGGGTATTGGGTTAGATAATTTTTTAGAGCCGCCAAGGCATTTCTTGAGATGCATAAAGGTATATCTTATCAAACGGGAGTGTAATAATGGGTACAACGCACATTAGGCTGGGTTAAGCGTTGAATGATTGATTTTTGAAGAACTGTGCTCTTCCTATGCAACGCCTTAATCATAAAGCATTTAGTTCAAAACAATTTAAATCCCTTGAGGAAAAAGACAGTCAAGAACATGTTGAACAGGTTTTTATATCATTCAAGTTAGAATAATTGCATGACCAAACGAATTTACCTGTAAGTGACGTTTGATCTAAATTATGTGACGGCCTCGTCTCGTAAATATAATAGATGTAGTACCCCGTTTCCCGGCCAAACGCACATATGAAGGGTAGAAGTTACTTACTTCGACGAGGACTTCACATAATTAAGATCGAACATCACTTACAGGTAAGTTCGTTTGATCATGTGATTATGTCGCGGCCTCGTTTCGTAAATAGAATAAGTGTATCTACACTCAACTCGCTTTGAACATCTTTTAAAGCGAATTGCATAAACATACTACTAACGCCCTGCAATAGTGAACGACAGGTTGTACACAACTACACAAATTGTGCACGACAAGTTATATGTATCAACTAAATTTACATTTCCAATGTAGCAACTAAAGTTAAGGGTTTTAGCTACAGGTAATACGACGTACATAGATTCAAAAATAAAAAGAGAGAGAGCTCTTGAGCTTGGCCGGGAAACGGGGTACTACATCTGTTCTATTTACGAGACGAGGCCGGAACATAATCACAATTTTAATATTTGTTTTATAAACTTCTGTAAAGTCACACATTGTTGTGTATTGGATGTAATATGATGCAGCTTTACATATCCTGCCTTTTTATCTGACATCCATATCATTAGCGGTTACTGTAGTTAGCATAAATCGATATTTTGCGACAGCCGACATATTGAATTTATTGTGACACTCTCATCAAACTCTTTCATTTGATATCCGTATCATGTGGGTGACTATAGAAATAGCAAAATCGACATTTCGCGGTGGTCACCATATTCACCTTGGAATGACGTCACGTTGCTCATTGTGTT